CCCTCCAAATGGGTCGTCCCGTAAGGACACGACAGGGAACACGGGTTTTCCGAGCGAGATCTGATAGTCCCAGTCGCCATCTTGATGCAGATGTAGGAATTGCGCGACATAGCTAGAGTTTGACAGGTGTACCTAGAGCGCTCGCGTCCAGAGGTCCTCGAACTTACGCAAGGCGATCAAGGAGCTATGTCGCATCTGGAGTTGTGATGACCGTCCATTTCTTCGCAGAATATGCCTCAAAGGTTCCTAGGCAGCAACGAGCTTTTCCTACAAAGGCGTGGTTGCGGAAGACCGTAGGAAGGCTCGCGAATCGGCGACATCGCATCGAGTTACGGCATGCTTCCGCCATTGCGGTGACGCGAAGCCGATGAGTGATTTTGAATTCGGAGTATTGGTCTAGTCCCTACTCCAGCTTTCGGTAACACTGCATAATGCACAGCCAAGTGCGATTCGAGAACTGGAAGCCCCAGAAAGGCAAGTAGCTGCTTCGTGTTCGACGTCGGGGGTTCGGACGACAGCATCCAGTGTTGGACAAGCGGGATGTCAACGTGAAGAGCGTGTCGGGCCGTTAGGAGAAACCCCTGGTGAAGAATGTTGCTGTGGTGCTTCCAGACATCTTGCACTACATGAAGACGACCCTTTAGTATCGGCCAAATCGGGTTAATTTGGGTAAGAGCCGCATCTGAGACCGCATCATGGAGCGGTCGATGTCGGTTTCATGCCGGTGATTCCATGCGCGGCCCGTCCGATTCGATTCCGGACCCCTTTGATCCTTGGATCTGCGATGTCTGAGTGACCGACCTCCAGGTTCGGGAAGTCGCGTCTCTGGGGTATCTGGGGGAGTACAAGGAAGAAGCTTGGTGCACAATGAGCAGACTGATACTGTGGCTCTCGGTCTTTGTATTCGCCGTCACGCATGTCGGCCGAGAAAAGGCTGAACAGATGGAGTATGTTACGCTTGTATTGAGAAAACAGTGGTTCGATTTTGGGTATCTGCAACTCGAGTCGATCAAAACTTTCGCTTCTTCCGTGCTGGTCCTGCGGCGGCCTTCCGCTGTAGCTCCTGCTGCAGCTCGTCTCGCTTCCTATTTGCTCTCTCCTGCGAGGTTTCTCGAGTCCTCGCCTGCGGCTTGCATTCGGTCCGATCACGACCTCTATCTTCTGCCTCGGTAGCAGAAGTCTCAGGGTCCTTTGACGCAGGAGCTCTGCCGCCGATGCGACCAAGCCCAGGCTTTTTCAGTGGCTCGGGGGACTTTGAGCGATTCGCGGACCCGCCGATGCGACCGAGTACCCCTTTCTTTGGTGAATCGGTATCCTTGGAAGGTTCGGGGGTATTTGAACGTCGCTTTACACCGCCGATCCGTCCGAGTCCAACCTTGGTAGGTTTCGTGTCCTCTGGCTCGGGTTGACGAGGTGGAGAAGAGGGTTCTGCCACTGATGCGGTAGCATCGTCATCAGACTCTGTTTCGGTTTCCGAGCCATCTGGCTTGGGCTCTTCAGGGGCGGGCGGTGGTGAAGGGGTGGGTTGTTGCTTCCTCCCAATCGTTCCTAGGTGAACAGGGTGTCTCTTTGGTTCTTGTGGAGGCACGGGTACACTGTCTGGTATTTGCGAGGTATCCCCATCTTCAGTGCTGTCATCATCGTTTGCCACGTTTGTCGCACGAACGGACCGGTTGCGGTTGGACATGAGATGTGGCGGTGTTGACTGAACCTGGAAATCATCATCATCCACTGGGTCTCTTCCAGTCTCTTTGTCGTCACGTCGAGACTCGTCGGGTTCGGGAGAGTTCCTCTGCTGGCGCTGGCTGGAGTTCGGTCCTACAATTGGGAAAGTCGACGACTCGTTCGTGGTCCACCAGTCATCCAATGATAGGTCCAATGAGGCATCTTGATGTTGGTACTCGAGACCATTTGAACCGAAGACGTGCCGGATCAGGTTGGCGATGTCAGCGTCGTCACCGCCAAGCTGAGCCTTCCAGTCATCGTGGCTGAATGGCGCCAGTCCTTTGACCTTTTCCTCGGCCATCTTCCTCGTTGGCTTCTGCTTGGCCGACAGAACGGTGAAGACGTTCTCTAGGCGGGTTCCAGTGGCCTCGAGCTTGTCGAGAAGTTTCATTATGACAGTGTCCTTTTGCTTCATGATTGTGAGGAGCGAATCAATCTGACGGGTCTTGGCGGAGTTGGCCTGGGTCAACGGTATCGTCAACTCGGTTGCAAGCGTCGACTGGGGACACTTTTGGAGGTACATGGGCCACACCAAAGGCTTCATGTTGTCCAACTCGCAGGAAATGTGCATGGTCAAGCCGCCTTCCCCAGCATCTTTCTGGGGGGCGGTTGACAAGTTCAGAGTCGCCTTGTCATGGTCTGGATGGGTGGGGTCAAAGACGGATCTGATTTTGGACAAGAACGCCCGCATATTCCTGGTGCTCTCCGTGGGATCGATCGTGGTCGAATTGGCGAGGCTGCGCATCAAGATGCCTCTGCGGTCCAGTGATTCGACCCAGATATTGGCCAAGTCGGTTACATGGACGGTGTATTCCGCGGTGGAGAAGGCCGTTGAGACTAGGAGGTTGGGCAGGCCAGCTGCCGGAGGCAGTGGTCTCCATACCGGTGGTGTTGCCATGGTGCCGCCGCCGGTCTGACGGGCCGAAGGAGGGGCTGTGTATGGGTGACACGCTGGGAATAGACCGAGCGAAGCTTCTGAGGGAATGTCTTTGGAGCAACGTTGGGTTTCCTGGAGAGGGTCGCTGCAGACGAAAGGAGTCAAGAGGGATGAAAACGATCTGTTGCAGCGAGTTGAAGCGTGAACGAGGCTGACGGTACGACTCTGCGGTGTCGTGTGTGACGAATAGGTGCTATTCTTGGCCGTTTCAAAGATTGTAGCTCAAGGAAAGGTGTGGGATGCTGTGTTCAATGACCAGACGGGCTGGGCGATAGAGGTGAGGTGAAGTTGGGAAAATGTGGCCAGTAGACCATGTGGCACTCTTTCCCGCCTCGTGGAATCGCGTTGAGGACGGTGATGACACGCAGGCGACTGTTATGACAGGAATTCTCCTAGTGTAAGGTGACTAAAGGTTGGCAAGTGCAAAACGCGAGTCGGGGAGGTATCACGAAGCGCTTGGCGCGATGTTGTTGCACGTCGAGATACCGCTTCAGGCAGCCACGTACAGTAGGAGGCAGGAGGGCACTGTGCCAGGCGAAAAAGAAAAGAAGGCAAGGGTGTGGGGGGACGTTATGGGCACTGTGAAAAGTCGCGACTGAGGGCTGCAATTGGTGAAATCATGGCTCTTACGCATACAAGTGGGGCTTTTGGTCAGCTCATACGGCTGTTCGTACTGTGCCGACCGCACCTGCGGTGCTCGACGGATGTCTGTAGAGCGTCTCAAGTGCATTACACACGCGCAGTGCAGAGAATCTTGCACCACGCCTCGTGCAGTACGGAAATATTCCGTACCACATTTTACCTATGCCACTGCCTCACGTTCAATTAAGCTGTGAGCCATGATCTGGCGTGTCTTACAAACCAGTGAACTGTCAGGGGCGGCGCGTAATGGTCGGTCACCTGACATACCTGGCGCTGATAGTTGAGATAGAGTTCTGAACACATGCCAGGTTGCCCATTCTTGTCATAAACAATTGAGTTTCGCATTCAGCCGGTGCTCATTCAGCCTCCGTCTGTCTCAGCTGATAGTTATTCAGCAACTTCATGTGAATACTGCTTGACTGCATCGTAAAGCTTGTAATGCGTTACTGCTCAGTGACGGCCGTCAAGGCCCTTGGAGGCGCGTGGCCCAAGCTCCTCGTCTTGGGGGCTAGGTAAGGAGGTACGTCCCGCCTAGATCCTTATCCAGGTCCAAGCTAGAGCTCTTGGGTAGGGCAGATTTGAAAGAAGGAGCAGGAGCCCTCCAGCTCAGCACTTCCAATTGTTGGCAAAGTCTAAGCCGCCGAAGCCATCAATTATCGCAATAACTGGTATCGATATTGAACGCCGTCATCCACTCGCCACCTCGAGAACCACAGCCAACATCGAAAAGTGAGACAAACCGTTGCAGAACTACCACCTGGCCGACGGGCTAGGCCCTGCCAGTCACCCGCCCAAGCCCCTGGAAACCCGCTGCTTCAGGCCTTGTGCTGGCTCCCATTGGCTGGAAGCTGCACCGCCATACCTCTGGATGCGTTGATGCGCCACTTCCCCCCCCCCCCCCCCCTCCTCGCACTTCCAACTGCACTTCCAGCACAGGTTTCCATGCTTCGCATGAGAGGCCCTCGACCTGCCAAGATCTCTCTTAGGCCTATTAACTTCATTTGGCATCTTGCAATACCACCCCACCCCCGCCAAACAAGCTTGTTTCTCGATTCTCGCCAACGACGTCCGGCTCCCTGACTGGCTGGCCGCTGGAGATGACTGTCACCATGCTTGCCAGGCACAGACAGCAGGGTGTCCCCCATGGCCCATGACGTCCATAATGAGGAGATTTCGACTTACCCCTTCCTGCTCGGTTCGACAAACCGGTGGCGATATGCCATGCCTCTTGGCGACTACCCATTGGACATGTTCAGAAAGCCCAGCGTGCCACGCAGCATCCTCGCCTCTCCCTTCCTTGGCCGTCAAGGTTAACCTAGTGCCCAGCGCAGCAGCGGTAAGCAGTCGGGGAACAGCCACAGCGAAATGGTGGCGCCGCCCACGTTCGATGGGATGATCAACATGGGAACCTACGGTGACGGAACCCGTGGCCCGCCGCTGCTACCCCAAACATCGGCGCCTGCTGGTCATGCCCAGCGGACCTGTCAACCCAGGGACATGAACCTTTCTTGACGACGATTCGCTGTTGGGAAAACTGGTTTGGCGGGATACCTGGGGCGACAGCCACATCTCGGATGTATAAACACGACCTATGCTGGAAATCCCACTCCCTACTTCTGTCGATCGATCCCATCTGGCCGTCTCTGTCTCTTTTCTTCGCATTGCCAGTCTTCGCATCTCGAAACCGGGCAACATCATGGGAAACAAGCCCAGCAGCCCGTTGGCAACCTGCCTCGACAAGGTCTGCGACGGCCGATCATCCTGTGTTGGATACCCAAACGACCCTCTCTACCAGATCAACTGGGTGAAGCCGTACAACCTGGACATCCCTGTGAAGCCTATCGCCGTCACCAAGCCCTCCACCAAGGAGGATGTCGCAGGTTTCGTCAAGTGTGCCGCAGACAATAACGTCAAGGTACAGCCAAAGTCAGGCGGACATTCATACGCGTGAGTTGACATACCCGTCGCTGTCTGGCTTCTCTCTGACACGTTCATCGCAGCAACTTTGGCCTGGGTGGCACTGACGGCGCCCTCGTCATCGACCTTGCCAACATGCAACACTTTTCCATGGACACAGATACATGGCAAGCGACCATCGGCGGAGGCCACAGGCTGCACGACGTCACCGAGAAGCTGCACGACAACGGCAAGCGTGCAATGTCCCACGGCACATGTCCTGGCGTGGGCATCGGCGGCCATGCAACAATCGTAAGAGACCCCCGCAGATGTCTGTCTGGCTGCATCAGGTGGCCATCAGTCTCACCTTTGCATCTGCGCTGTGCTAATGCAATATGCAACAACAGGGCGGTCTTGGACCCAGTTCACGAATGTGGGGAAGCTGCCTCGACCACGTTCTCGAGGTTGAAGTCGTCACCGCAGACGGCAAGATCCAGCGCGCAAGCGAAACCCAGAACTCGGATCTGTTCTTCGCTCTCAAGGGCGCCGGCGCCGGCTTCGGCGTCATCACCGAGTTCGTCGTCAAGACCCACCCCGAGCCCGGCGATGTCGTACAATACTCCTACGCCATCACCTTCACCCGCCACCGCGACCTCGCCCCGATTTTCAAGCAATGGCAGGACCTCATCACCGACCCAGATTTGGATCGCCGCTTCAGTAGCGAGTTTGTCATGCAGGAACTCGGAGTCATCATTTCGGCAACCTTTTACGGCACCGAGGACGAATTCAAGAAGACGGGCATCCCCGACCGCATTCCAGCTGGGAAGGTCTCTGTTGTGGTGAATGACTGGCTTGGGGACGTTGCGCAAAAGGCCCAGGACGCAGCTCTTTGGCTTAGCGAAGTTCAGTCACCATTTACGGCGAAGAGCTTGGCCTTTACCCGCGACGACCTTCTTCCCGAGGCGGGCATCCAGGACCTCATGAACTACATTGACGGCGCCGACCGCGGCACCCTGATCTGGTTCCTCATCTTCGACGTCACGGGCGGCGCCATCAACGACATTGCTATGAATGCGACTGCCTACCGCCATCGCGACAAGATCATGTTCTGCCAAGGCTACGGCGTTGGCCTGCCGACACTCAGCCAAAAGACCAAGGACTTCATGTCAGGCATCGCGTCAACGATCCGAAAGGCAAGCCCGAATGACCTGAGCACGTATGCAGGCTACGTCGACCCGACGCTGGAGGACGCGCAAGAGAAGTACTGGGGTTCCAATCTGCCTGCTCTCCAACGCATCAAGGCCGCGTGGGACCCCAAGGACCTCTTTTCAAATCCCCAGAGCGTGCGGCCCGATGCCAACGCCAAGGACGTCGCGCCTGCGAACAATTCTGAACCCTCATCACCCTAGGAAGAAAGCGGGAGTTTTCGGCGCACAGTTGATTTTTCGGGGCTTGCATTTTCGGTTTTCCTTACCTGGGTCATTGGCATTTCGGTGGTCTTTACGTGATACGCATTCAAGCCGTCCCAGTCGATCTGCGACGGCTTCTTTCTCTTCTCGGATACCCGTATCTTCCTCAATGCAGGCATCATTATATCCTTCCAAATAAATATTCGTGTTTTTGTACGCGTATGATTGCGTTAAAGCGCAGGCATCAATGTGTTTTTGTCAATGGGTCCGTCAGCCAACAACTCCCAGGCACCCATGGCCATAATCCTGGTCGACGTCCAGCGGCGCAGGGCTAAGACATGTCAAACCAACAAACGCCAACCTCATATCAACGCACTCTCACCCCATCCCAAAACCGCTCCCCAAACTCACCATCTTGAATCGAAACACCTATGAACAACTCCAAATTTTAAAGATGCCAACTATAATAAATGGCTACCTCGCCCCCCGCCGGCGCTACACCGCCCGCGAGTGCCTCACACGCGCCATCCACCCCCTCCTCCACCCCTCCATCCTCACGTTCCGCGACGTCGTCTGGGCCGCCTACATCATCTACATATCGCGCGTCACGTACTTCACCTTGCGCAGCATCGCGTACATTCTCTTCGAGGCCGAAGGGCGGCGGCGGTGGACGGAGCCAAGGCCGGAGTGGGGACCGTCGCCGGCGGGGTGGACGATGGGGTGGGCGCTGATGGGGAGGTTGTTGAGAGGATTGGTGTGGAGGAGGGTGATGGATTGGGGGGGGGGGGAGG